TAAAAATAACTGCTATAAGTGGGTTGCTCTGACAGTTAAACGCATGTTTTAGAGTTTACTCCATTTAGCTGTTAATCGATTACTGAATTAGTTGACAATTATTTCAATAATTGATTGAACACGATTGATCTGATTAATTGTTTCAGCTCCAATTACAACACTGATAGAAATTTCTTCAAAGTGCTTTATCAATTAAGTTAATGTAAGTAATTTCAATCTTATAAACCAGTAGTTAATTTATTGTAAGTCAATTATTTGTTTACATACCTACTGAAAGTGTTTCATGTTCTTTTAGGAGTATCGCATTTCTTGCAGGCCTGCTCTAAATAATACTTGATGAATTAAAATAAGAGTCAATAAACAGGGATGAAGGAGAGGTAAGGACATTGTAATCTAATAAACCATTAGTAGACAATTAATATAGTTGATTATTTGTTTAAATCTCTACTAAGAACTGAAGGTGTTTCATGTTCTTTAGGGAGTATCACATTTCTTGGAGGACAGCTTTAAATAATACTTGATGAATTAAATAAGAGTAAATAAACAGGGATGAAGGGGAGGTAAGGAAGTGCGACTCGGTTGTAATCTTCTTTGTTACTCCAGATGTTAAGCTGCTGTTTACAGCCGTCATTCTTCCGCATCATGCTCACAGTCACGGTAAACCTTCTGTCACAATTATCTGCAGTGACCCTGGGTATAAAGCCTGGTTAATACTCTGGTTGTCTGTGCAGCTGCTATGTTCTCACTCACACTCTTTCCTCTCTTCATAGTGGTGCTTCTGGCGAGCAGCCCTGCTTATTTCAGAGGCTTCACCCTCATCGCACTGAAGGAGGGCAGAGAGGGCACCACAGATGACGACTACGCCGGCCAATTCCAGGTAAGCCTAAGAAGGTGTGGAGAAGAATCTCTGCATATGGATGAGCTTTGTGTTCAATGGGAACACTGGCAAAAAGGAGCTCATTTGCAAGCTTTGCTGCGCCGCGCTGTCGACGAGGCGGCGCCCTGCTGTTCTCTGATGTGGAGGATAGAGGAGGTGTTTCTGACAGAGACTGGGAGGGAGCTGAGATACAAAAGAAAAGGGGATCTCTCCTTGTCTTTGGTGCTACCCTTCCAAGGTGCAGGTAACCTGGCACCAAGTTCCAACTAAATACCAGATATTCTTCTTCTTTGTGTGGAAAAATAAGGTGATAAAAACTGAGTGTGAAAAAATGCAGGTGGGAACAGAGAGAAGTGATAAACATTAAGGAAGAGATGTGAAATGTTTGTTTCAGTAGTAACACGGCTCCCACTGAGCAGCAGAAAGCTCCTAAGGAGAGAGGCAGGCTTTCTCAATTACCTTCCTCTCAATATAAACAGGAACAAACATCTGTGTTTCCACACGCTGATTCCTACCAGACTTACAGCAAACAGCGATAAATGATTTTCCTGTTAAAAGCACTTCACAACAGCCGGTTCCAAACTTTTCAGCCTTTTAAACCCACAAACAACATGAGAACTGTTTGATTCTGATTAACAGCTGAATACGCTGAGTCAATTATAAACACAACACATGCAGCCTCAACAACCATATGCTACTTTTTAAAAGTCTTTTTTCTGACCCTTGCAGCACAGATGTGTTTTATATTCACCATTAAACCAGATTTCTGAAGAAAATCAGTGAGCCTCAAACTCTTTGATTCTTGACCCCATTCTGACCCCAAACCCAACATCAGGAACAGCTGGTTTAACAGGAGGACTGAATCTGCTGCCCACGTCAGTCTTCTAACACTAAGGTTTCATGTTGCAGCATCTAGATTTGTTTAATTTCATGCACGCATGCTTAACAGTAGCAGGTTTCTGGGACTGAAAGCATGAATTGTTGCTGAACTTTAACCTTTTTTCCAGCAATATTTTCTCACACTGTTACAAATATTAGTCATGTTTGTTTACTTTGTTCTTGCTCAAACTTGAAGCAGTTAGACCAAATCTTATCTATTCATTTATTTATTTTTTTTTGTTAGCTTTCAT